CTATTTTCTTTTTTTTTTTCTTTTTTTTGTGAGAGGAAATCAGTAGAGAATGTTGCAATTTGAAAAACTTAAAAAAGAAGATTGTTCCTTAAATTGATTTAGATGACTTTGCTGTTTCAGATAGACTATATAGTATATTATGAATATATATTATGAACCTATTTTTCTTTTTCTTTTTGTGAGAGGAAATCAGTAGAGAATGTTGCAATTTGAAAAAAACTTAAAAAAAGAAGATTGTTCCTTAAATTGATTTAGATGACTTTGCTGTTTCAGATAGACTATATAGTATATTATGAATAAAAGTTTCTGATTCACTCTTCGCAAGCTCAACAAAGAAGTTGATTGAGATTATTTGAAAATTCATATTTTCAAAATAAACTGAATCCCGGTTTCTCCGCTCCTTAAAAAAACTGGAAAAACGCGAAAAAAATTTTGGCAACGTATTTTAAAAATTGCGCAAAGAAGTTCTGTTGTTTAAAAAAAATTTTAAAAAAATTCGTAATTTAAGGAAAATAATCAACTTCACTGTTTCAATCAATTCTCAAATTTCGAAAACTTCGAAAAAAAATAATATTACAATTGGTCCAAAGCTTTTTGAAAGATTTATAGAAGTTTGAAAAATTTTTTTGAAAAATGAGCTTTTTGGAATATTTTTTTGTAAATAGGATAGAAAAATTGTACAGGGAAGGATAGTTTTGATGAAAAAAAAATGTTCTAATAATTTTCAGTTGTGAAAAAAGGGATGAAAATGGCAGGAAAACGGGAATTTTATCAGAAAAAGCTTGGGAAAAATCTTAAAATCTGGAAAAATGAAAAGTTTCTACACAGAAATGGTTACATTTCCGAAAAAATGAATGAAAAATGTTGTAAAAATAAAAAAATGAGAGGAATTTGAACCGACCAAGCTCGAGAAAAGCGGAGGGAAAGTGAGTTTGTGGCGGAAAAAGTCGGGGGCGGGCCAAGGGCCGCCAGATGCTCGGGTCGAAAGATATACGACTGCTCCGCGTTCGGTGTAACTCTTTCGGCGTCCCCCGACCCATTTGTCACGCCTTCGGAACGCCTGTTCCCCACCCCACTCTTGAGAACCCCAAACAAATATTGTGTAATCCTTTTTTGCCGACTTGAAAGGGCGGCTCTCAAGTGATCCCTTCTTGGGATTTATGGTCTGTCCCCTAAGCACCTAAAATTCAAGGGGGGAAGGGGGTAGGTGAAGATTAACCTACAATTGTTGCCCAGGCCATTTTGCCGGCTTCATTCGCGCTCCAAGGATAATTGCACGTTTAAGAATCTTAAAATTCAAGTGGTCCCTATAAGGTTTATATGGGTATCCACTAAGCCCCTAAAGCTAAAACAAGTGGTCCCTATAGGGATTCAATTTTAAGTTCAAGTGATCCCTTCTTGGGGTTTACGGTCTGTCCCCTAAGCCCTAAAACTCTAGTGGGACACAAGATTAACCTACAAATGTTGGGCAAGGCTTTTTTGCCGGCTTCATTTGTGCTCCAAGGATAATTGCATTTAAAATTTCGTTTATGACCCTTCAAATTCAAGTGATCCCTATAGGACTCTAAGATCTGACCCATAAGCATCTAAAGCTCAAGTGGTGCTGAAGATCTTGGGCGAGGCCATTTTTTAAGCTTCATTTGTGCTCCAAGGATAATTGCACTCAAATTTTCTTTTTTCCTATAGTGGCTAGGGTGAAAAGCTGACCCTATAGGGGCGTAAAAAGTGGTCCTTACAGGGATAAAATTTAAGTGGTCCCTATTGGAGTGTATGGTCTATCCCATAAGCCCCTAAAACTCTAGTGCGGCTGAAGATTAATTTACAAAGCTGAAATGTTTGCCAGGCCATTTTGCCGGCTTCATTCGCGCTGCAAGGATAACTGCACTCAAATTCTCGTTTATGACCAAAATTTGATTAGAAAACGACTTTTATTTTTGCCGTCTTGAAAGGGCGGCCCTTCTCTTCAAAATCAAGTGGTCCCTATTGGGATTTAATTTTAAATTCAAGTGATCCCTATAGGGGTCTACGGTCTATCCCCTAAGTACCTAAAATCAAGTGAGGCTGAAGATTAATTTACAAAGCCGAAATTTTTGCCAGGTCATTTTGCAGGCTTCATTTGTGCTCCAAGGATAATTTCACTCAAGTTTTCGTTTATGACCAAAATTTGCTTTTGGGAAAGTTTTTTTTTTCAATTGAACTTATTGTGTACTCAAACTTATTGAAATGACACTTGCTTTCAGAAATTCCAAAGAGGTTCCTGTAGGGTTTTAAGTGAAAAAAGCTTCAAAAAAGGGTCGGAAAAGTGGTCCCTTTAGAGATTTACGGTCTGACCCCTAAGCTTCTAAGTGGCCCCTATAGGGATCTCCTAATTTTTTTTTTAACATTTGACAGTTTTGAAAAACTCGATAATTTTTTTCCTACCTCAATATTTTTCATTGAGAAACGCTGACTTTTCAAAATTTTCGCCTTGAAATCGATTTTATAATAATAATCGATTAGCATGTCCCCTATGAGGGCCACTTTCGCAAGCTTCAGTGGGCCCTATAGGGGTTGGTAAAGTGGTTCCTAATTAGACCCTTCAGGGGGACAAAATTATTATATATTGAAAAAGTAGAAATACTGCTTTTTTTGAGGAAAATTCTACTTTTCCCTAGCTTTTTTTCCGACGAAATTGAACAGTTCAAGAAAAGATTTTTTTTTAAATTTGAAGCTTAATAGTTGAAAACAAAAGGATAGGACAAGAAGGAAGAAATTTTAGGGAACGGGAAGAAAGAAAGTCTGGTGACCGGCGGCAGAAAGGGACGCTTCTGAGTCATTGGAAGACAAGCAGGGCAGGAAAGATTTGAAACAGGCCAGAGACGTCGAGGAACGGACCATTTCCCGCCATAGGGCGAACCAGCACCCTCCTACAAGGGACTTTTTTTTGCTCCTGGTCGAACTTTCAATGAAACTTCGTATAGACCTTAAGGGGTGTCAAGATGTTTGATTTTCGGCATAAAATATAATTGTTCGATCCTTCTCGTCGAGATAAGTACAAATATCATGAAATTATTGGATGCTGACCTCCTTGAAAAAATTTTGGACGAATTTCTTTCTTTTAAATTTGGTAGTTCTTTTCACAAGGGAGATCATTTCACTTTGCGGTTGGGAATTTTTTGAAATTTGGCGAGAACGCTCCTAGGTGTACCCAATGAAGATCCTGAAAGCCGTAATCTGCACAACTTCTCAGTTTTTGAGAAACTTGGGCTCAGAGATCTTACTCAAAAATTAGGAAGTTTTGCAGTTGGAGACTTTCAGAATCGTCATCCGGTACATTGAGAAGTTTTTTGACCAATTTTCAAGAAATTCCCAACCACAAAGCAAACATTTTTATTACTTGTCAGGAATAAAAATTTTTGCTTTTTCTTTTCATGCACATAAAATAATTTACCACTTTTGAATAAAATAGGGTTAGTAAAAGCTTTGAAAAAAGAAACACAGCGAAAAATTCGTCAAATAAATTTCCTTAGGTAGCTCTAAAAAAATTGACTTGGCTTTGAGGCGATCGGTTTTTTTTTTCACTGTAAATTTTTCCTTATTTGATTAGTTTTTCAATATTGTTTCTACGATGAAATTTTTTTTTCTTTTTATAACTTTAGCTAGTTGAATTAGGTTGGTGTCGAAACACGCAGCGAATTTTTCAAATTCTGAACGTCTTGGGTTTTTTTAGTGTTTTTGCGCACCATAAAATTGTGTCTTCTAACTAGCGTCGGATAATCCCCCTTGAGGCATGCTGATTCCGAATCGAAAACACAATTTCTCGAGTTGTCGAGTTATGTCGGCTCAAAATTTGCATCTAATAGCAGCACAAAAGAATGTCTGTTGCGCATGAACATTCAATTCCTGTTGGCTGCGTGGTGTAGTGGCTAGCGAGCTTGCATCTCACCAAGGCGCCGTTATTTCTAGACCAGGGGCGTGGCTTGCCTCACCGTAATCTTGTGCGGTGGCGCGCACATGCCTACTTTTCCTCAGTCATTTTCTTTATATTTCCTCATTTTTTTTTCATTTTCTTTTTCATATTTCTTTTAAGTATTCCCCTTTGATTTCAATATAACTCCTTCTATTATCTAATTAAACTTTTAATTTTCGAATACATGGTTCTTCTGTCTTTCACGGCGTATTTTTGACGACGCCCCGCCCATAAGTTTTCGTCAGATAACGTGCATTGCGTGCATCGCACGTACACGTAATAATGCGCTGCCCGCGAATGTTTGAGAAGGCGCACCGTGCTTAATTTTTCGTTTCATTTATTTTTTAATATGCTGTGTTCAAATTAATTTTCGCGAAATGCAAAAGGCTCTCGGACTCTCCAAAATTTAGATATTTTCCTTTCCGCAACGGGTATTTTGCATTTCGTGGAATCACTTTCAACAATGCATTAATTATTATTCATTTTCGTTCACAAATTGTTTCAATTGTGTCAAAGAAAAATCGTTTTCTTCTTCAATTGTTTACTGTTTTTCGTATTCTATCGTAACTTCTGATTAAAAACACTTATTTTAGGAGATAATGCTTGCCTCTGATTAGTAACGTTTATTTTTTTATCTTCATGTGAATATATAAAAAGTTTTTGGAAGCTATCGTTTTCAGATTTTTTTGTTATAATAGAAGTAATTTTAGTCGATGTTAACTTGCTTCCGTGTGAACTTTTTTTCGCTCATAAAAATAACTTTTTTTATATCGCAATATAATTTTTTTTAAAGTAGAAATTGACGAAGAAAAAAAGGAAGCAGGCAACCGCAAGAGAAGATCACGACGCTCAGGAGGGTAAACGAAGGACGTTTCGACGAAGAAGAGTCTCTCCATCCCTGATCCTGAATGTCGTGTTTTTTTTTAGACGAAACCAGGTAATTATTGTAATAAAGCGTTTTTTTTTTTCTCACAAAACAATAAACAAGGTATTTGATTTATTGAAAATCAACAAATTCAAAAAGAACAACATGATGTGCAAAAGGAATTCACTAATGACACTGAGCGTGAGAATGATGGCAGCAACATGTACGCGGCGTATCTCTCTGGGCTTGTTTCTTCTCGATATTTTCCATCTCTGAACACTTTTTTTGTGAATGTATTATGCAAATCATTTCAACCGTGCGTTGAAGTACTTGATTTGCGTGTCGACCGGACTGAATCTGTATTTTTGGAGAGTGATACATCGTTCCACGGATCGCGTATTGAATTTTTTTATTTATTTATTCACTTGTATCAGCACTTGGGTGTTCGACGGAATTTGTTTTGTGCACGACATACTTCATGTTCTCGGCGACTTTCAAAGATGAAGCCGTGGAATTGGAAATGTTGGTTTCTAAAAAGAAATGGTTCAAGTGGAATGTGAAAAAGTTTCTCACCTTTCTTCTCATCGCATAGTTCCACGGGATATTCTTCAATTTCCTGTTTGCTGATCGAGCCAACATTCTTTACCTTCTTTCTTCCGCACTTTTCCTTCTTCACCATTCTTTTTCGGTAACAAAACTCGGAAAAATCTGTAAGAATTTTTTGATACCTCTACCTTATAATCAAGAAGAATCATACAGTTTAGCGCGAAATTTCTTGATTATTTAATTAAAGTAATTTCTTCCGGACATATCAACTTTCTCATTTTCACTCGAAACTCACTAATTATTCTTTTTAAAACATTACCAGCTATTTATTCGACAATATTAGCTAAGATAAAAAAAGTCGAAAAAAATGCAGCAAACGAAAAGCAATATGTTTAAAAAAAGAGGAAAAAATCAAATAAAAACCCCTCATGATTTCAGCTCTTCTCGCTGCGGTGCGCGCGCGAAAGGTGTTATCGGTCTCACCACGAAAGTTTTACCTCATTTGGCGTCTTTCCAAAGTCACGCCTTTGGCTTTTTTTTTTGCATTTTTTTCCACTACTCAGAACGCCGTGCTTTAGTATCGTAGACGAATTTCTTGAGGCCGAAAATCGTTTTTAGTTTAAATGAGTGTACGCCATTGCGATTAATTTTATTTTCAGGGTTCTCCTGCCTTCCCATAAAGATTTTTTCAAGTCATAAAAAGTGAATTTCCGTGAAAAATGTCCTATTTTGACAAGTTCAGGCCCTTTTTTCTAGTTTCTTTTGAACACTTTGCGAATGTGTCCAAAGTCCACAGGAAGAGGACTCCAACTATTTGATGAAATCTACATCGTCGACGACTACTTCTTTTGTCGAATTAAAAGTTGTATAGTTTATTTGCTTTTATTATCTCCTGGAAGCATAGACCGCTGTGCGAAGTGTAACTACCGCATGTAAAGATTTCAAAGCCTAAATTCATTTTCAGAAGGAAAGCAGATATGATGATTTTGCAGTTAACACGATCTATTTTGAGATTGGTGTTACGACGGCTTCATTTTCCTGGATTTGAACGAATACCTTCGGCCCTCTGGTCATGCGCGTCATTTACCTTCATCCCCATGCAAAATCTTAACGCTGTTAAGCGATTCTATCTGAATTAAAGAAAATTCCCTATCAAATATTATGTTCAAGATACACTAAAGATAACTGGCTATTCGGGCGTGATATAAAACCTAGTTCGGGAGCGGTACATCGAAAATCACGCAATATTTAAATATCGTCTCCGCGCGAATCTCGCATTTATCTCGCTTTTTTAACGAACTAGCAAATATTTGAATATTTCCAAATCGCGATGTTGCGCCAAGATAAATGCGAGGCCGCTTTTTGAGTACTACTTGACAATCCTTTACTGCGTTATAATTCGAGAACTAATAATTTTTCATACAGAAAGCTTTCGTCATAATTAGATGCAGACGTCGATGAAAAACACTTGAATCATTTTCTGTGCAGCCCCTCATCAGTGTGGCTTCCAAAGTAATCGATGCAGGATCAAGAAATGACACTCTTTTTGTGTTCGGCCTGATGCTTCGTTAGCTGATCTTTGTTTGAATAAAAAAAAATAACATCGATCGCAACTTCGACATTCTATAGTTATAAAAGTTCAGAAAAACCTGTCAAGAAAAAGATCTCGGATAAACCCGAGTCTATACGGAAACGCGAACGAAAAAATTTTCACTTCACTATATATAACTCTTACAACATATGGTGAAGTGAAAATATTCAACGAGAAGTGGGTAAAGTTGCTAAATTTCGCATATACCCTAAACTTTTGACGCGACTTGTTTTTTTCGGTTTCATTGGGTCGCGTTGCCATATAAATTCGAGTTCGTCCGAGATTTTTCGCACGGTAAGTTCTTTCTGTACACTCAACAGTTTTAGGCTGGTAGAATATTCTTAACTCATTTCTAAAGTATGGAATTGCGCAACTCATTGGGATTCCTATACTTGTTACGCGCAGTGTATAATAATTTGAAGAATCCAAAAAAATGTGATTGAAATAGCTGAATTTTTGAATTTGTTTGTCAATTTTCTCTCCATTAACAATTAGAAAACTAATAATTGTGAAGCAATGAACAAATGCTGCTCCACATTTTTTGCAGAGTGATTTCAAAGAAAATACTTGAGAAGGACCATATCTTCGAAAATTAAGAATTTAATAATAAAACGAGTTATTTTGAAATCGAAGGGGAATACTTAGAAGAAAAAAAAATGAGGAAATATAAAGGAAATGACTGAGGAAAAGTAGGCATGTGCGCGCCACCGCACAAGATTACGGTGAGGCAAGCCACGCCCCTGGTCTAGAAATAACGGCGCCTATCTCACCATCTATATACAGGTTCAAATCCGTTAGAATATATTTACTTTTGCCAATTTTTCCTCGGAATAAATCTATGAAAATCAGTGAAATTCATGCTTTCTTAAAACATAAGATTATCAAGATTATCAGTCGTTGCAACGAGATTTTTAGAATATTTTTCCGTTTTCCCTTATAGATGGTCCCTTCCTAGAAATTTTTTTTTGCAGAACTCACAGAAAAATTTTTTTTCTCTTTTTGATGCGTATTTTTCATTTTGGTTGTGGCCACTTAATCCTTCAAAACGGAAAATTAAAAAATTAGAACCTTTTGAGATTGGGAAAAAGATTCTATGTGAAAACCAGGTCCAAAAAAGACTCAATTCACTTTTTCGTGTAATGAAAATCAACAGGAAAATTCAATTTACGCAAGAAAATTTATTAAAAATCAATAAAAATAGCATTTTCTTCATTTTTGATTTGCAGGCAATTGAAGGCGAATTTTCAAAATAAAAGAAGAACAACGGGGTTATGCAAGGGTTAAAGGTACCAGTCCAACAATTGGAAAATTCTATAAGAAAAAAAGGGAAATAGAAGGTTCCCAAGAGGACACTTGAGGGATATGGTGACGTCAGGTGAGGGAAAATAGGAAAATGACGTCACTAAGACTAGAAAAATCCTCAAAAACGTTCATAGTTTGAAAATTCAAAGCTTATGACGTCATGCTTTTATCAAATTCATGACGTCATTATTATCTTTCTGATGACGTCATAATAGATAAAAACGCGAGTGACGTCACTAAGACTAGAAAATTCTCAAAAATTTCAGAGTATAAAAATTCAAAACTTATGACGTCATGCTATTATCAATTTCATGACGTCATTAAAATTGAAAAAATCTCGACCCGTTTCTACACAGGCAAGTTCGCTCATCAGGTAACTTCAGACAATTCAAAATGACGTCACTTTCCCTAAAGTGATCACTCAGAGTATAATGACGTCACTAAACGTCTGATTTTCTCTAATTCAACACTCTAAATAAGAAAAAAAATGGGTCAGCTTCTATGACGTCATAATTTTCGAAACCCCTCGAGTGACCTCTTGGAAGAAAGCTCATTTTTTAGTGTTTTTTGATTCAAATTGAATGACGTCATCGATGAGGGGAAATATCACAACATGTGGAGAGAGGCGCGGTACTGCTTGGAGTCCATGTGTAGGTTCCGTCGCGTTTCCTCGTTTTCTACCGTAATCCAGTGATACCTGGAAAAATGAGTTTAAAGGTTACTGTAGTTACAGTACTCTTTTTTTTCAAGCGACATATTTCGTATAAAGAAGCTTTTAGTCGAAAATATGATAGTTGAGATTTCTCGTGAACTAGGTTACTGTAACCTATCTTGTAGCTACAGTAAAGCTTGTGATAACAGGCTCCAACTTTGGTTACTGTAGTCTGCGCTTTTTCTGAAGCTACAGTACCCTTTCTCATATTTTAAAGGTACGAAGGACGCCTGGAGTTTCTAATGAAAACTTTCCACTTTTACTACTATTGCCTAGAGCCATACAGTAAATTCGCTTTGAGCCCGATACAGTACTCTTTGATTTTCGTTTCAAGACCCGAAAAAACCTGTATCTGAATTTGTCATTTTGGCGCTACACTATCCTTTCAGTATCATCTTTCTGCATTACTTTTTCGAGGCCGAAAACTTGTGGCTTCAAGTCAATTCGGAGCTACAGTATCCTTATATCTTCCTTTCGAGACCCGTAAACCTCGCCTGGGACTCCTAATAAACGTCTTGGATTTTTCTAAAGTTACAGTATCCTTCTATTATCATTCTTTATAACTCTTTTGAGACCCAAAAATCTGTCTAGAGCTACAGTACCCATAGATCTTCCTTTCGAGACCCGAAAAATCGTCTGAGGCTACAGTAGGAATTTTCTAAAGCTGCAGTACCCTCAAACCATCCTAAATGACTCTTTCAAGACCCAAAAATCTGTCTGAAGCTACAGTACCCATAGATCAGATCTTCCTTTTAGCACCAAAAATTTTTTTCTGAAGCTACAGTACCCATAGCTCTTCCTTTCAAGACCCGAAAAATAGTCTGAAGCTACAGTAGGAATTTTCTAAAGCTGCAGTACCCTTACACTTGCCTACATTACTCTTTCGAGACCCAAAAATCTGTCTGGAGCTACAGTACCCATAGCTCTTCCTTTCGAGACCCAAAAAATCGTCTCAAGCTACAGTAGGAATTTTCTAAAGGTATAGTACCCTTAAACCACCCTACATAACTCTTTCAAGACCCAAAAATCTGTCTGAAGCTACAGTATCCTTACACCACCCTACATAACTCTTTCAAGATCAAAATTCTGTCTGAAGCTACAGTACCCTTATACCTTCCTTTCGAGACCCGAAAAACTCGCCTGGGACTCCTAATAAACGCCTTGGACGTCTGCTTATGGCGACAGAAGACGCGGACGGCCAACCCATGGGCCAGACTTTCCATCGGCCTGGGATGACATTTGACCCGGACGACGTGCGATGGGGCGAACACGACGTTGGCCCCTTCTTCCAGAAGATGCTGAAGAATAGTTCAATATTTTTCCGACAGAAGATTTCTCTATCCAACCCTGTAGCACTTGGAAACGACCATGGCGAAGAAATATTCGAATCCGAATTCGACGGTTGGGAATGGCTGGTCGTGAACCGCGAGCTGTTCTTCATCCTTCACTGTTTTATGGACGAGGACTTCTGTCCGGGTTCTGTAATGTTTTTTGATCGGTTTTGATGGTATAAACGGTATAAAATGGTTCAAAATGGTATAAAAATGGTTCAAAATGGTAGAAAGTTTTTCAAATAGGTCAAAATTGTTATAAAACTGTTTCAAAAAGTGAATAAGAAAGATTTAACATGGTGTAAAAATGGTATGAAAATGGTTCAAATTGGTTCAAAAATGGTATAAAAATGGTTCAAAAATGGTTCAAAATGGTTTAAAAATGGTTCAAAATGGCGTGAAATGGTTCAAAATGATATAAAAGTGGTTCAAAAATGGTATAAAAATGGTTCAAAAATGGTTCAAAATAGTGTGAAATGGTTCAAAATGATATGAAATTGGTTCAAAAATGGTTCAAAATGATTTAAAAATGGTTCAAGATAGTATAAATTGGTTCAAAATGGTATAAAACGGTCAAAAAATGCCTAGTGAATATAAAAAATCGGTGTGAAGATCAAAATTTTAAATTAAAAGTCACTAGTGGTCCCTAGAGGGGCCCTCAATTTTTTATTAACCATATTTGAATATTTATTGAATTACGAGACAATCTGTGAGAAGCGACAATTAAAAATACGGTCTAAATATAAGTCAAAATATAAACTCGAAACAGCAATCTAATTTATTTCCCTTTTATCTTCCAATTGCTTCAAATCAATAATTCGATATAAAATTTCTCGGGTTTCGGAACAGTTTTTAAACGTTCAAAAAGAGGAAACAAGAAAATTAACGTCCTAGTTATCATAAAGGTCGTGATTCGCAAATTTACAGCACGGACTAATTTTCCAAAAAAAAAATTTTTCAAATGTTAGCTTGAAACAGTAACCTCATCTATTTCACATTTATCTTCAAATAACATTTTTTAGGTTTCGGAACGATTTTTTTTTGTTTCAAAAAAGAGAATGACTAACTCGTCCCGATTGTACTTGACGATCATGAACTCCATGAAAAGGCCCTGCATGTTGATGTTCAAGGGTAGGATTCTGGGCATGGATTCGTTGAAATTCCGTCGGAACTCCACGGCTTCATCCACTAACCGAATGAAATCTTTTCCTCTGAAAAACAATTTTCATTCTTCAAGCTCTAGCCTGTCTGCGCTCTCTTTTCTCTCACCCCTCTGATTAAAGAAATAGTCTGTAAAAACGAGAGAGCGCAGGTTGTGGAATAAAATTCTCTTAAAAAGTTTTTGATGGAAAATAAAACTCTGCACCTTTCAGTTGGTCGCACTGAGAATGGCTTGATGCTTGTTATCGCTCATACTACCCACTTATTGCTCATGTTACAGCTTATTTATTCAATAAAACTGAAAATTTCTTTGAAATCCCTCAAAAATAGTTTATAAGTTCCCACACACCTAATGAACCTTACTCAAATTTCTCATAACAACGTAGTATTGCTCATGTTAGCCCACCTCAAAGGCATTTTGTGCGATTTAACGTCTGCGATAGGGAACCACTCGGCGCACAACGATTCATTATCAGGCGTCGTTTTCAAATCACCGCCTGAAAAATTCTCATATTGCTCATGTTAGCCGACAAAAAGTGGGCGGAGCCGACCTGTGACGCGACAAAAGAAGGCGAATCTGTACCAGCCGGAGCCTTGGACCTGCATTGATAATAGCTCGATGACGTCACACGAATAACCCGTTTCTTCCAGAACTTCCCGTTTCACCGATTCCTTAAGTATTTTCATTTTTGAATTTTTTTTTTTTGGGATGATCTGATCGTCTGCGCTCTCTTTTTCTCTCACTGGTGAGGTTTGAATCGAAAACCTTGAAATATTCTGGTCGCATTCGGAATGGCTCACATTTGTCAAAAAAATCTACGAAATGAAAGATTTTTAGATTTTTGGCTCTTAAATGAGGTTGCTGTTTCGGAAAAAAATTTTTAAAAATAATTTTTTTTGGGTGGTCAGTTTGATAAGTTTCGTGGTCTGAATTGTTTTTTTAAACTCAATTTTTTTCTGGATTTTTTTAATATTTTTTTCTATTCTTATGTTTCTTTTTTTATTTTCACTCACTTCCAAGGTTTCGCCAGCTTCAACCCGTCCTGCTGGAACATACCATCTGAAAAATCAAATTTTAATAAAAAAAAAATTTTTTCGAGAGAAAAATCCAACTCACTTGCCCCGGCAGCTTTTCTTGGCTTCTTGGATCAGCAGAACCTGAAAAATTGGGGATAAAATCTGTTTTTCAACATTTTTTGATTAGAGATCGGAAAAATCGGTTTTTGAAGAGATTTTTCTAAAAATCAAGACTAGAAAAAAAATAATGACAACTCTAGAACTTTATATTCTTCCGAAAAAACAAAAAAATGTATAAAATAAATAAGAAAACCTCAGCTGAATCGCCTTCCCCACGTAAAACAAGCGCGGCGCCGACGTAATTTACATTATCGTGTAACCTGACGTATCGGCATTCTGAAATGTTATATTTTTTTAATTATTTCTTTCAATTTATCAACGAAAACCAACTAAAAATAGCTTCGAAATGAATTGAAAAAAAAAAAAAAAAAAAAAATAATAATGAGCAGTTTATGGATAGTGCGCTCCACGGAAATCTTACGGTAGCCCTTAAAAAAAATTCTTTAATTTGATATTTTTTAAAGATTTTATTGCGGTTTTCATGTTCAAAGCTGTTAAATTTATTCGTATCCTGTTAAAAAATTCTTAAAACGGTTTTTTTCAAAAGGGAATATAATTTTTTCATGAAAATATAATATTTCAAGTCATTTTCAGTGTTCGAAAATTGTTTAATTTGCTATTTTTTCAGTTTCTGTTGTGATTTCTATGTTCAAAGCTGTTATATTCATCCATTTTTTTGATAAAAAAATTCTTACAGATTTTTTTCCAATAGGGAATATTGATTTTTTTCATGAAAAATTTAATTTTTTTCAAGTCGTTTTTTTGTGTTAAAAAAACTTGTTTAATTTGCTATTTTTTTCAGTTTTTTTGTTGTGATTTCTATGTTCAAAGCTGTTATGTTCGTTCGTGTTCTGTTCGAAAATTCTTAAGAAAGCTTTTTTTGAGATGAAATATCATTTTTTTATTAATTTTAATAATTCAAGTCGAGTTTATTTCAGTAGAAAAAAACGAAAAATCGGGCCTTTAAATCTATTTTTGAACAGGTTTTGAAATTTATTTTGTTGTTTTACTTGTTGAAATGGAATTTTTTGATTTCCGATCGAAAATTCACCATGCTGCAACCTTCAAGTTTTCATAAATTGTTCAGAAATTGTTAGAAACTTTTCAATTAAAAAAAAAAACTCACTGCCAAGTTGCATGTCCGGCACGCGTTCCTCTTTAATTACTTCGCCTTTCAAACCGCCATTTTCTCCTGAAATTTGTGATTTTTCTTCAGTTTTCATTTCAGATTATGTAGAAGTTATTGACTTTGACAAATTTGAAAAAAATATGTTTTTCGTTAATTTTCAGCATGTTTTTTCCTAGTTTCAATTGAATTCCAAAGATTTTTCGGATGAAAAGTGTGATAATCGCACTTCCCTGTTTCCAAAATTTGATAAATCCGATTTTTTTAAACTTTTTACTTTGTTTTTCCGCGACTGGGAACGAGGATTTTAAACTTTCTAGAATTCGAAAAATTTCCTCATACCTTCTTCGCCGATCGCTTCGAGCCGTTTTTTCAGGATCCCTTGAGGGACTTGCGGCGGTTCCATCGCTGTAAATTGGAGCATCGGAATCAGAAAAAAATTTTTTTTTGATTTTTTTGAAGCATCAGAAACATTGTGTAGGAATAAAAAGGAGCTGAAAAAAACCGTTTTTTTAAACACTTTCATGAATTTTTTTGAAGGCTCAGAAGCCTTAGACAGCTAAAATAAAGACGAAAAATGCTTTTCGTCATGGGATTTTTTTCGGAAATTAGAACATGCTCCTTTAAAAATCCCAGCAAAAAGTCAGGAAATTTAAATTTTTTTAAATGATAATCACAATAAAAAATTGAGAAAAAACATGATATAGCTTTTTGAAATATTAATCTCAAAATTTTTAAAGGCGCATGGCGAATTTTCAAAAAGGTCTTGAGACGAAAATTCATTTTTGGAGTTATTTGAAGTCATGAAAGCTTCCTGAGTCTTTAAATACGATAAGAAAGGGTTTTGAACAGTTTTTCAATAGGAAAAGCTGGAAAAGTATCAAAAAGTCGAAAAAAAGCGGCGGAAACGGCGTGGCACTGAAGATAAGATAAGCGGGGAGAGCGTGGGAATTTGCGATAAGAATTCCTTTTTTTTTCCTTGCTGATAAATGCGTCATAATGTCGCTGCCCTGCACAAATATTGACCCGCCCAGGTGTTCGCTTTTTCATTAGGCAAAAAAAAAAATTCGCCGGCTTCTCATTGCGTTGACTTTGTACTGAATGACATATTGGTTTAGAAAAATTCTGAAATTTTTGAGATAAAAATTATGAGCTTCTGACTGTTAAATTGGGCTTTTTTTAATGGAAATTATAAATTTCTAGAAAAAAAGCCATAAAGAAAAATTTGCTATAACTTCATTAAAAATCGACTTTTTTTGGGTCCTTGTTGGTTTTAAAAGTTAGATTTGATGCCCAAAAATACTAAAAAAAGGAAAAAATATGCTAGAAATGTCTTTAAGAAGCTATTTTCCGAGTTTTAAAAGTTTAAAAAATTTTTCAAATCAAATTTTTTTCGAACTTTATGAAGAAAAAGAAATCCTTCAAGAAACGATTTCTTGGTTTTTTTGAATGTAGTATGATTCCGAAAAAAATCCATAATTCTTCCTTGAAAAAAATCACGTTTTTTTATGAAGAAAAATTGTGAAGAAGCTTTAAAAATTTTTTTCAGGAGACGACTTTTTTTATTTTAAAAATTGATTTGGATGCTCAAAATATCGAAAAATTCACACAGTTTTTTTGAGGGTTCTGAGAAAAAATTTTAGTGTGAATGATGTATTTGGAGAAGGTTCTAAAGAAAAATTGATCTTAATTATTTTCAAAAAAAGAAGCTTTAAAAATTTTTTTGGAGACGACTTTTTTTATTTTTAAAAATTGATTTGGATGCTCAAAATATCGAAAATTCACACAGTTTTTTTGAGGGTTCTGAGAAAAATTTTTAGTGTGAATGATGTATTTGGAGAAGGTTCTAAAGAAAAATTGATCTTAATTATTTTTCAAAAAAACGAGTCTTTCAGTGCTTCCATTGATTTTGAATCTTCCCCCCACAAAAAAATCCAAATTAGTTTTTTTAAAAAAAGTTTGAAAAAACCAACACTGCTCGATAATTTCCGTGGTCGGTTCCGGCGTTGGATCCCGACTTTCGGCGATATATTCCTCGTCTGATAGAACCATTTTTGTCGCCTGAAATCGAAATTCGTGTCAAATTTAATTATTTCAAAAGAAATATGTACGAAATTGAAGGGGGAAATTATCAAAAAAATTCGCAATTTTCAGGCCAAAAAAAGCAGAAAAAAATCTGCAAATCTGTGGATTTTTACAGTTTATCAGGCAAAAAATCGAAATTTACATGAAAATGAGATTGAAAATGACCACAAATGAATGAAAATTGTAATTTTTAGCCCGAAAATAGCCGAAAAAAGTACAAAACCAGACAAATTTTTGGGCTTTTTCCAGTTTTTAAGGCCAAGAATCGAAATTTGTACGAAAATAAGGGTGAAAATGACCGAAAATGATCGAAAATCACGATTTCCAGCCAAAAAATAGCTGAAAAAAGTACAAAACCAGTCAAATCCTGTGGATTTTTCCAGTTTTTAAGCGAAAAATCGGAATTTGTACGAAAATGAGGTCGGAAATGACCGAAAATGAGTGGAACTTGCAATTTTCAGCTCAAAAATAGCCGAAAAAGTTTTAAACTGAGAAATTTTCCAGTTTTTAAGCGAACAATCGAAATTTACACCAAAATGATGGTAAAAATGACCAAACATGAGCGAAAATTGCAATTCAGTCCAAAAATAGCCGGGAAAAGTACAAAACCAGTCAAATCCGGTGGATTTTTCCAGTTTTTAAGCGAAAAATCGAAATTTACATGGAAATGAGGTTGAAAGTGACCAAAAATGAGTAAAAATCGCAATTTTAGCCCAAAAACTTTCGAAAAACGTTTAAAAATAGGTAAAGCTGTACACTTTTTCCAGATTTTAGGGCAAAAAATCGAAATTTACATGAAAATGAGGTCGGAAATGACCAAAAATGAGCGAAAATTGCAATTTTCAGGCCAAAAATAGGCGAAAAAAGTACACAATCTGGCAAACCCGTTATATTTTTTCAGTTTTATAGGCGAAAAATCAAAATTTATACGAAAATAAGGCTGAAAATGAGCAAAAAGGAGTGAAATTCACAATTTTCAGCCCAAAAGTAGCCAAAAAAAGTACAAAACCAGACAAATCGGCGGACTTTTTTCCACTTGATTAGGCAAAAAATCGTTCCACGAAGCGTGTTAAGGCAATTTACCCATCCGCCGTTCCAATGAATGGAAATCTTGTGGGGAATCGATTTCCGTGGTTTTTGAAGGAGAATATGTTATAGTGACCGAAAAAAGGGGGAAAATCGATTTTTGAGATGAATTTTAAGTGTTAAAAGTGAATTGAGTCGTTTATTTCCGTTATAAAAGTTCAAAAAGAGCAAAAATTTCAATTTTTCTCAAAGTTTTCTTCAACTTTTCCGTTCTTTACATGAAAAAGGGTCTAAATAAAGAAATAGCGAAAACTCTAAAAAAAAAAAAATTTTGCTGTCGAAAAAACGGCGCAGAAGTGTTTTGGGAGGATTTTTTCCTTTTGAAAAGGTTTCCCTCCTTTTTTTTCGAACATTCAATTTCGACGTTCGGTTTGGCAATATGTTTTCGTGTTGCGAAATCGGTTGGAATCGAAAAAAATGGGAAAATTTGGGAAAAATCGAAAAAAAGTTATAAAAAACAGAAAAAAAAATGATGAAGCTGGGAAAATTCTAATGACCACTTAAGGGTGTTGAAGTGGCCACTATAGTAGTCAAAATGTTGGCCACTTAAGAGGTTAAAATTTAGTGGCCACTTTAGAAGTCAAGGTCAAAGTTTTTACTGGGAAAATGTTAAGTGGTCACTCTAGGGAGTTGGGTTTTTAGGGGCGATTTAAGTAGTCGAATTAGTGGCCACTTTAGAAGTTTAGAAGCACTACTAGAACACTAAAAACTACTAGAGTGACCACTCAAACGCAAAATAGTGCCTTAAGTTCAGTGGCCACTTTAGTGCCCTCTAAGTAGTTCTTGAAGAACCTCTTAAGTGGCCACTTCTTCCCAAAAAGGTCATAAATTCATATACACTGGGAATACGGAAGATGAAGACGAGACGAAAATGTCATTTGATATTCACGGCCGCCGTCCGTCGGCCCACTTTCTCCTTCTTTTCGACTTTTTAAGGCATTGGATAGTGGTATTCTGAGCCAAAAAGGAAAATTTGAAAATTGTGAAAAAATAGCCGCGAGGAATGTGCGCTCTGTGGATAATCGTAAGGAATTTACGATTTATTCTAGAATTCAGATCATTTTTTTGAACCTGTCCAACCAAATAAGTCCGGAAAGATGTGTTAAAAAATAAACGATAATGTGAAAAAAACAGCCGCGAGGCATGTGCGCTCTATAGATAATCTTCTTGAAGTTTAGGATTTTTTCTAGAATTCAGATTTTTCTTGAATCCATCAGAGCAAATAAGTCGAAAAAATGAAATATAAAATCAAACGAAAATGTGAAAAAACAGCCGAGAAGAATGTGCGCTCTAATGATAATTACATATATTTTGAATTTTATCCTCATAAAACTTGAAATTTTTAAATTTTCAATGCAAGTAAATCCAAAAAAAAGCTTGTAAATACTCCTGAAGTGGCCAATTCGATCTCTGAACCCTACAGTGACCACTCCAAAAATCCTTAAAGTAGAGAAATAAGAGATCAATTGTCTTGGCCCAGTGCCAAAGGTCACATCTCGGGCTGATTTCCCCCCGCCTCCCGCAGGTATACACAGCCACTTGACATTGTTTATTGCGCATGTTTGCTTGTTTATTGCTCAGGCTAGCTCATTATTGCGTTGTAAACAAGGCGGAATGGTCCTAGAAGCTTGCCGACTTGTCTCTAGCGAGATAGTTTGGAATTTAGAGTTTTAGAGAAATTGAAAATATTACAGATAATTGAGAGAGTCTGGGAAACGAGGAGAGTTGTTAGAGAAAAAATTGTGACGTCACTCGTTTCGAAAATTTCAGACCAAGAAGCAGAGAGTTTCACATTTTAAAATATGGAAAAAAAAGGCTAGAGAGTATGAGAAAAGAAGAGAGTAGTTAGAGAAAACGAGAAAAAAATCGTGACGTCACGAAATCTTCAAATATAGTAACAAACATGAAAAACTATGATTTAAAAAAAAACAAAAACGAGAAATTGACCCCAGGTTAGAGATTATGGAAAAGGAGAGAGCATCAGAGAAACAAAGATAGATCCATGACGTCATAAATTAACAGATCATAGATAAGGAAAATCGAGAGAGTCGTTAGAGAAAAAGAGCTTTTTCTACTGAGATTGACTGACGAAAAAGGGAGAAGTGGCCTCTAGGGAATTCCCGAAACTCGACGAAGATTTGACAGATCGTGTCATAAAAAAATTTCCGAGTTTTATTGAGATAAAATGAGGAATTTTTTTCTCTAACATGAGCAATACATAAAATTATTCCAACAAAAAAACCGAAAAAAATCGGCTATAATATGAGCAATAACGCTATTGAGATCTAATTGATGGGTTCAAAAAAGGTGAAAAATTAAAAAATACAGAATTTTACTGAAAAATCGCAGAAATCAGCTCTCGGTATACTTGAGAAGTTCAAAAAACCAACAAAGTGAACTTTGAAGTTCAAAAAAAGCAAAACATTTTTTTTTTCTCAAAAATAAGAGCTAAAATGAGCAATATCATATTTAGGGGGTTCAAAAAGGCGGAGTTTATTCTAAAATTTTCATTTGAATTGTCTCAATTCGCAATAAGAAGCCTTAACATGAGCAATACAATATTCGAGGTCAAAATGAAGGGTTCAAAAAAAGTAGAAAAAAAGTTATTATTTTTCAAAAATCAGCTCTCATGAGCTCTAATATGAGCAATAAAGTGTAGGGGATCAACTTGGAGGGTCCAAAAAAGACACAGAAGTTGAGACAGGCTTAAAAAGAAATAAAGTCGGTTTTGAAGTTCAAAAAAGAAAAAAAAAAGGAAAAAAGTCAGCTCTAATATGAGCAATAAAATATTTGCGGTCAACTTGTAGGCTTCAGAGAAGTAAAAAAAAAGGCAAAAATGTCGGTTTTTTTCAAAAAATTAGCGCTAATATGAGCAATACAATATTTGGGGTCAACTTAAATTTCGAATAATACGACAAAAAAAATTCGGTTTATCTGAAAGTCAGTCTTAATATGAGCAATACAAAATTGGGCCAATTTAGAGGGTTAAATAAAAATTTTTTTAATTCACAGGACTTCATCTTTCTGAAAAATTAGCTCTAATATGAGCAATACAATATTTGGGGTCAACTCTGAGGATTTAAAAAAAGGACATGGAGTGAATTTTAAGTTGAAAAAAAATTATTTTTTCTCAAAAATCAGCTCTAATATGAGCAATACAATATTCGAGGTCAACTTGGAGGGTTCCAAAAAAAGACACAGAAGTTGAGAAAGGCTCTCTCTCTCCCGATAGGAGGCCGTAGAATCGATGGGTGTGAGGGCGAGGCGGCGGCTCCAGACGCCTTCTTCTCCAATTTTTTTCCGCCTCTCCGGCGACCCCCTTTCGAATTCGAAGAACAAACCTCCTCCCCAATCCATCCATTCTATACGCTTTTGCCTTTGCCGGCTACTCCGGCCGATTGTCCCAAAATGGGAGCCCCGGCCACGCCCACTTTAATTGCGAAATTTCCTTTTGCAAGTTTTGCGAAAGGAAAAGCTACGCCGTTTTCAAATAACCTAACATTAGCAACAAAAAATAAGCTCCGCCCCTTTTTTGGAGACTAAAGATTGATATCCTGTAGATATTTTCACCTAACATGAGCAACAAAAATAAATAAAGCTCCGCCCCTTTTTTCAAGGCTAAAGTTTGATTTCCTGTAGATATTTTCATCTAACGTGAGCAACAAAAATAAAGCACCGCCCTTTTTTTCAAACTGAAATTCGATTTCCTGTGAATAATTTCATCTAACATGAGCAACAAAAATGAAACTCCGCCCTTTTTTAAAACTGAAGTTTGTTTCCTGTAAATAATTTCACTAACATGAGCAACAAAAATATAAGCTCCGCCCCCTTTTTAAAGCTTGACTTTGTTTTTAGGGAGATAATTTCACCTAACATGAGCA